CAGCCTGCCTCACCTGTTGAGGCCCAGCTCCCGGCAGGCCCTGCTGCGACCTTGGTGCCCGCTGGGAGCCAGGCCCACAGAGAGCGGCACTCCCTCAAGACCCAGGTCCCTGGCCTGCCCAAACCTATTTGGGGGTGGGAGGGTCTCCCCAGGGACAACGGCTGTGCCCTTAGGCACCAAGTCATACAGGTACTTACGAGATGCTGAAGCCAGGGCCAAAAGGGATGGCGTGAGAGAGAAGACACAGTGAGCTCAACCCTGGGCCTCCCCTCAGCCCCCACCCGGCCCCTGCAGTTCCCTTCTTGTCACTGACCCAGTACATCCCTCACAGGTAACCCAGCCGCCAGCAGGATGCTGGCTACACTGCCAGCCAGCCCTGAAGAGGCAACGGAAGCTTATGTCACTGCAGCCCATGCCACCAGGACCGGTTGCTGAGACCGGGCAGCCTGAGGCTGGGAGTGGGGTGGACTCCCCCTGTGCAGGGCACTTCTTTGGTGTGGGGGCCACTGCAGCAAAGGGAACTTCCCTGGAAGGAACCCCAAAACAGAAAACCCAGATGTATGTCCAGACAGAGAAAAGCAGGTCCCTGGGGGGACCCCAAAACTGTCATTACCTGTGGCACATATGAAACAGAAGTAGGCTTCTATTTGGGGGTTGAGGGAGGGCAGACACAGGCTGAGGAGAGGGGATGGGAGCAGGAGAACCACGCCACACCCCACACCCCACTGACAGCTCATCAGCTGCAGCCCTGGGCCGGGTCCCCTGACCAGAGGACTGTGGGGGGGCTGGGCACCAGCCATGAAAGGGGAAGAGCAGCCAGCCCTGGCCTCCCTGGCAGGCCTGGCACAGCATGGGCACATGGGGCTGTTCAGAAGCAGCCACCCTGGTAGGCCCAGAGGCTGGGAAAAAGCTGTGTTTCCTGAGCAGCATAAGGAGGCCACCCGGCCCTTATCGTGACCCCACATCGTGGAACAAGACTCACGCTTGCATAGTTGTGGTTGCTGTCTGGAAGCTGAAAAGATTTTCCTTGGGGAACCAGGTACGAATGGGGATGTCGTCTAAAAGAGACAAAAATGAGCGGTGGCTGGGTGAGGTCTCTCCCTCCCTGTTGGGAAGCAGATGCTTCTGAGTCCGGGGGTCAGCAGCAGCGGGCAGCCAGGGCGGGTGGGGGGAGGCTGGCACAGGGTGGCATCCCCCCACGGGCCCAGAGGGCAGTGCTCAAATGTCTGCTGCTCACTCACCAAGACTACGCTCTTGGTGACCTGATGCTTTGATTTTTTTTGGCTTAACTTTCCCTTTGGCCACCCAAAGTTTGAGGAACATTCCTTTGAAAGCACGGTCTGTCTCCAGGAGGCCCAGGAAAAAAATGCATCTGTTTCCCTTGGGCATCTGAGGCCTTCTCTGCAGCCCCCATGCTCTAGCTGGAGGCCCTCGCTGAGGCTGGAGACCACCTTGCTGAGGGTTGTCCCCTTCCCAGGGGCCCCACAGCCTTTCCCTGATGCCCAGGTGTGGGGACCGTGGAGTGACGTTCTGCCTGGTGGACAAGCTACCACACAACTCAACAGTCCTGGGGAAACGGGCCCACTGCCTGGCTGGGCCCCAACAGCTTCCCAGGACTCTTGGAGGGCAGCCCAATCTCCCGATTAAGCGGTGTTTCCTCCCTATATATCCCTTAAGATCCTCCCAGGCCCCCTCCTCTGGGAAGCACTCCTTGATTGACCTGGTGCTAGCAGGGCCAAAGCGGACTGTGAGGCCTGGCAGATTTTGCTGAGGAGCTGAGGGAACTCACGGCTCATAGAGTGTGGAGGCAGCAGCAGGAGCCTGCCGGGTTTAATCTTGAGTCCGCTGGCATACTGTGACCTGAGCACCCATCCCCTGTTCCAAGCCTCACAGTGGCTGCTGCTGTCAGACCCTGGCAGTGGCATGCACCCCCAAACCTGTCCATGCCCCGACGCAAGCCCCTCACCAGACACACGGTCAACACTGTACATCCTCTCCAGCTTCTTGCGGCGGCCAGAGGTCTCAGGCAGAGGCGGCTGGTCCAGACCAAAGGCCCGAGGGGTGGGGCCAGGAGCCAGCTGTGCACATCCGGGGCATTCCTTGGAGCCCTGGCGGCTGCCCGCCCAGCTCTGGCAGGGCCTGCTGACATCCTCCCGGCTGCCGCCAGGGCTGGCGCGCAGGGGCTGGCTGTGGTGGTGAGGGTGCCGCTGCCGCCGCCCCTTCACCACTGCCAGCTCAATGGCCTCCGCCTCGGGGCTGGGCAGCAGGGCAGGCTCCCCAGAGATGGTGTACACTCGAGGCTGGGGACCCTCGCCTGCGGGCTTCCTAATGCCGGGCTCCTCTGAGAGGCTGCCCTCGTAGCAGCCGTTGGAGACGAGGGACAGGCGGCGCTTGTTCTGGGGGGCCGGCTGCATCTCGGGGGACCCGTCGTGGCCAGAGTAGGCATCAGCCAGCAGGTGATCTGGGAGAGACACTGGGTGAGCCTGCAGCGGCGTGGCCCCCCGCTGCTGGTTTCATAGCAGGCCGAAGGCAGAGAATACCCAATGGGCACCTGGCGTCTGTGGGGGGCTGGGGCTGCTCAAACCCTAGTCACTGGCGTGTTTCTGAGCCCCTCACTCCTATCTGGGCCTGAAGCCCCTGCATGTGTGTGGGGGCGGGGTGACTCCGCGCTACCTGTGTGCGGTCCTGCTGGGTAGGAACACGCAGGCCACCCCCCAGCCTGCGATCGCACCGTTTGCCTGGTGCCAACTTCCCCCTCCCCCCACCAGCTGGCCCCCAGAGGCAGTGGTGCCAGCCCTGGGGGAGCCAGGAGGCCTGTTGCCATGCCAACGGCCCAGGCGGGGTGGGTGCCATGGTGACGAGCGGCTGGGAACTGCTCCTGGGGCTCGGGCAGGGAGGGCAGGGGATGTGAGGAAGCCAGGCCGGCAGGGCGCCCGGCCCACGCGCAACCAATGCCCCTCACGCTCCACCCCCGGAGGCAGGGATCAGCATCCCCTGGGCTGGGGGGTCTGGGCGGCCCTGGCATGGCCTCGCGTGCCCTACCTGCGCCGTTGCGGTTCTCAGGGTGACTCTGGGACAGGTACTCTCCAAACGCTCGAGCTGCTCTGAGGGTGGACAGAAAGGGCACGGTCGGAGGCCACGGCACGACCCTCCCAAACACAGGGCGGCACAAGAGCCGGGGATCCGGTCCCCAGCCAGGCCTTCGGCGTTGGAGGGAGGGTCGAGGGTCGTCCCCTCCGGGAGCCCACACATCCTTGGTACTGGTGCGCCCTGGCCAGGCCTGCAGGCCCGGCCCCTGCCCGTTGGCCCGTGGAAAGGGTTCGCGAGTCTGGTTGGCTGCTGTTCCCTGGGGAACCGAGGCCACTCCCGACCCGGGGGGTGCGCTCGCCCACCATGCGCTCGCGAGGGGAGGGGACAGGAGGGCAGGGCAGGGGGCCAGGAAGAGGGAGGCGCGGCGAGAAGCCAGAGGAGGGGGCACGGGGCGCGGGGAGGGCGCCGCAGTGGGAGAGGCTGGGGCCCGGGAGCCCGGGGAGCACCGCGGGGCAGGGGCGGACTCAGGCGGGGTCGGGGGTCCGGGGCGGGGTCCCGGGAAGGCGGCCCCGCCGCACTCACCGCACTTTGGCCGCCACCGAGGACATGGCCTCGCTCCTCAGCGCCCTCCTCCTGGAGGCGGCGGCGCCCATGGTCGAGGCGGCGGCGCATCCCCCGGGCCTCAGAGCGCGCCCCGCGCCCGCCGCCTCCGCCGGGGTAGCCGCGCCGCGCCGGGGGTCGCGCTTGGGCTCGGGTTCGGGGTCTCGCTCGGGCTCCGACTCGGGCTCGGGCTCGGGGTCGGGCCCGGGCCCCGCATGGCCGCACCCGGCGCTCCGCGCGTGCCGCCGCTCCCGGGAGAGCGCTGCCCGGACCGAGGGCTGGCCCCGCCCATCGTGACGTCAGGACCCGGGCGGGCTCGGAGGGGCACTCGGTCCCGCCCACTGTGACGTCAGGGCCCGGGAGCGCTCGGAGAGGACAAGTGACCCCGCCCACCGTGACGTTAGGGCTCGGGTTGGGGGCGGGGCCGGACGGCCTGGCTCCGCGCCTTCTCGTCCAGGCCTCCAGAGCGGGGAAACTGAGGCCAGCGGCCGCCTGTTCGCAAAGTCCTGGGCCCTCGGCCCTCATGATCTGCAGGGGTCACAGGGCGGCCGATTCTACCTCCCCTTACACAAAAGGGCTCCCTGTGCAGTTTGGGACCTGGAAACTGAAGGGGAAGCCGGTTTAGGGGCACCCAGTGTGCTCGAGGCCAGAGGGAACCAGAGGGTCCTGTCCTGGTCCTGGGGGCCACAGCTCCACGCAGACTCTGGGAGCCCTACCTGCCTGGCCTGCAGTTGCCACCCTAGGGGCTCTCAGGTCCCAGCAGTGGGGTCATTTGAGGATGGCTGGGGACTGCCCAACCTCGGCGACCACCCATATCAGGGACAGCCAGTAGTGTTTCTTTGCGACAGGGACCTCAGCCCGGGGGACACGTCCAACACTCAGATCCACCTTTATTGAAACATCACATGGCAGCATCAGGGCTCCCACACCTCACAGGGCTTCGGGGGCCTCACAGGGCTGCAGCGGGTTCACAGGGCTCCGGGGGGGTTCACAGGGCTCCGGGGGGGCTCACAGGGCAGCAGGGAGGCTCACAGGGCTGCAGGGGGTCAGAGGGCTTTGGGGGGCCTCACAGGGGTGCAGGGGGGCTGAGAGAGCAGCAGGGAGGCTCATAGGGCTGCAGCAGGTTCACAGGGCTTTGGGGGGCCTCACAGGGCTGCAGGGGGCTCACAGGGCTCTCACAGGGCTGCAGGAGGGGTTCACAGGGCTGCAGGTAGGCTCATAGGGCTTTGGGGGGCCTCACAGGACTGCAGGGGGGCTGACAGAGCAGCAGGGAGGCTCACAGGGCAATAGGGGGTTCACAGAGCTTCGGGGCCCTCACAGGACTGCAGGGGGGCTCACAGGGATGCAGGGGGTTCACAGGGCTTCAGGGCCTCACAGGGCTGCAGGGGGAGCTCACAGGGCCCTGTGTGCAGGGCTGCAGGTACAGAGAAGAGGCCCAGAGAATCCTAACACAGCCTGGGGCTCCGGGGAAAGCTGGGGCTTCCAGCAGGGCAGGTACAGAGGACCCTAGGAGTTGGCAGCAGCCTCAGCCTTGGGGACAGTCCCACAGAAGACACTGCATCTGGGCTCTTTAGCACAGGCCTCTACCCATCCTGGTCAGAGGAGCCCTCGGACAGTTTTGGGAAAGCCAGGTTGGGGTGTCCATGCTGCAGCAAGGACTCATCCTCCTGCAAGCAGACCGTATGTTGCACGTGAGGACTAGGCAGGGACGAGGCTGTGCAGCGCTGGTAACCCAGTGGGACCACAGGGAGGGAGTGTCCGGCTCAGGGCGAGGCACTGAGGCTCAGCTGCGGGCATGAGGTGGGGCCACGCCCAGCTACTCACCGAGTCTGAGCCCCGCTCCGCCGAGGTACTCTGGAAGTCTGCGTATGCATCCCTGGGGACGTCCAGCAGCTCCTCCTCATACTCCGTCTGGTAGTCAGATTCGTCTGGCGCCGAGGGTAGGGCCACATCAGTTCCCTCCCAAGGAAGGGACCATGCCCAGCACAGCCACACTCAGAGGCAGAACTGGTCACAGATGCCCACCCCTGCCCCTAGGTGGCCAGGGGCCCCACAGGCAGCCACCTGGTCCCAGGGCAGCCCTGCACACCACCCCTGGTTCTGTCTGCCTCCAGCCTTGCCCCAGCATATCACTTGGTAGGTCTTCCACAAGGACAAGGGGTGGGCAGACACTCCTCCCCTTGTCAGCCAGGCACCCTTAGGGCTCCAGCACCCCAGACCAGGCCTCTGTGGACAGCAGCTGCCTTGCCCAGGGCTCTCTCAGCCCACAGCAGCCACGAGAAGGCGTCTCCTGGGAGAATGTCCAGTTCTGCTGTCAGGAGGCCACTGGCCGAAGGCCCAAGCGCAGGGCCCTGGATGGAGCGTGGAGGGGAGTGGCTCTTCTGGCCCTGCTGCCCCTCCAACAAGCAGCCTTCATTCCCATTCCCACTGGGTGGGGTGGGGTGGGAGGCAAAACGTGGTTCTACCTCAGGCCTGAGGTGTGGCTGGGACTTGGGGTGAATGAAGGGCAGAGGCTGGGTGGCCCAGGGTGGTCCAAGTCCCACTGCTGTGGGTACACGTGGTGCCCGGGACGGAGGAGCGCCACCAAGCACCCCAGCTGCTATAGCGTGGGCATGGACGTGGGCAGGAGGGGAGGCCGTGGGCCTCTGGGGTGGGGGCGTCGAGCCCAACACAGCGTCAAGAGGCCACGCAGCCGCGAGCACTTCATCTTGGGCCTCCACTCACCATCCACCATGGCGGGCTTGGCGGGCTCAATGCAAGACACAATTTCAGCAAGGTCCGTGAAGGAGGCGTTGGGACAGGTGAGGACCTGGGGGTGGGGTGAGGACAGCATGTTGCCCGTGGACACCCACCTGCCAGTCCCCAGCCTGCTTCCTGTGGGAAGGCCCCACCCACCCTGTGCCCTCTCTGTAGCCTCCGCCTGCCCCCCAAGTTGGGGCAGGGGCCGGGGAGATGCGCAGTCCTGAGCAATCCTTGTCCTAGCTCTGGAGTCTTTGACCAGTGGGGCAGGGCCTGTGGCCTGAGGAACTGGGCGTGGTCTGGGGAGCTGGGCGTGGCCTGGGGAGCTGGGCGTGGTCCTGGCGCCCGCACTCACCTCACTTGAGGGCCTCTTGCTTGGGCCCTGCTGGTCGCGCAGCATCTTCTCCAGCACGCCACTGCGGCCCCAGATGTCAAACACCGTGCGCCCGTGCTGGTACCCCACTTCCTGTGCACACCCCCAGGGCCCCATCAGGAGGTGTGGGGAGCCCTCCACTTCCTGTCTTCTCAAAAGGGGGAAGCGGGGAGGGGCAGCCACCGGAGTGCCCTCCGCCCGCCTCCGCCGCTGCGGGTGTGGCCGGCACTCACGCAGATCTCGTTGAACTTGCTGAAGTCCAGGGTGCCATAGCTGTCGATAGGGGGGCGCAGGTACTCGCAGTAGTCACTGCTCTTCACCACCTCCAGCTGCCGCACGCAGCACACGTAGGCCAGGCGCGTCTGAATCTCCGCCATGTTCAACACCTGCTACCGTCACAGCCGCCTGAGTCTCCTGCCCTGGCCCCTACCCCGTCCCAGCATGGCCCGTAGTGCAGGACAGGTTCTGGGGACCCATCCTCCGACCTGGGGCTGCGGGGAGAGGGTAGCAGCTCCCGGCCGGGGGTCCCCCCTGCGGGCTGCCACAGCCTTCAGGCCCGTCCGGCCTCGTCCCTTCTTTCCCCCGAGCTGGGCTCAGGCAGGGGTGGTGAGGAGTGGCCCCAGACCTGCTGGCCTCAGAGCCCAGGAGTGGCCCCCACTTCCCTGCCGCAGGACAGGTGTGGGGCTGCAGGGAGGAGCCGCAGGGACAGCCCAGTTCGCCCGGTAGCACCCCACCTTGACTTTCGTGGCCAAGGGGTTCCAGCGTTTCCACAGCAGCCACCAGCCAGACAGCGCATCCCCATAGTTGGTGAGGTCCGTCTCATCTCGGCTGCCCACATCAATGGCAATCACCACTTTTGCCCCCATGGACCGGGCCACATCCGCTAGGGAGAAGCCAGCCCTGGTTACCCCCTGGACAGGCATGCAGAGCCAGGGGACAGGGACAGAGCCTGCCTCCCTGAGACCTGACCTGGGGGCTGTGGGGTCTCCTCTCTGCCGTTACACCTTCTAGAGGCAGAAGACCCACACGCCCAGCTCAGTGGGCTGCTGTGGGCACACAGCTGTGTCCTGGGCCATTCTGACCGCATATCCCACAGGTGACAGGAGTGGCCTGGTCCCCAGCAAGGCTGACACCTGCAGGCTGTTAGTTTCTGACTGTGGGCACAGATGGGGCTTAATTGCTCCCAGTTACTCGACTTGGCCTTTGTTCTGTACGCTGCTGAGCTGACTAACAGGGCCATATGCTGGAGCACATGCTGCCGGTGCCTGCGTGTGCGTGTACACGCGTGTGCATGTTCTCGGAGCTCTGATGCCAGCCTGACATTTTTCCTTGGCACACTCTAAGGAAAACGTGTTCCAGCCCAGCCTTCTCGGAGCAAAGGCAGCAGCAGCAGGGGCCATGGGGCGGCGTGACCCAGGAGCCTGTGCTCCTGTCAGGTGTGGTCCCCACAACCGCAGTACCTGGGAGGTTGTTGATGTAGCCCCCATCCATCAGCAGGTGTCCGTCCTTGGGGTCACAGAGAGGTGGCATGTAACCAGACAGGGACATGCTGGCACGCACATACCGCCACAGGGAGCCTGGGGAGGGGGCCCGGAGTCGCTGGTTACCCGGAGGAGGCTTCTCCTGAGTCCAGGGGTCAGGGCCTTGCCTCTGCAGTCCTGGAGCTGGTAGGTCCCACCTCACTGAGGCCGCCTCCACAAAGGGAAGCACATGGCCCAAGGGCTGAACGAAATTGAGTTCTTTCTCTGGGGTCGCACTGCATTACGTGTGCCCAGGACTTCCAACTGCTGTGACCCCCTCACCGCAAGAGTGAGGGAGCCCCTCACTTTGTCCTCCCACATGATGTCCATCAGTCTAGCCCACATCACTGATTCTGCGAGGGTCCTGTCTGGCCTTCTGAGGTCTCTGGCCCAGGCCACGCCCCCTCCCGTCTGAGGTCTCTGGTCCAGGCCACGCCCCCTCCTGTCTGTGCGCCTAGTAGGGGCATCCTGCGTCCTCCATGGACAGAGCTGCCCACAGGAGACCCCCGCGACCTTCCCGACCCCCGGGGCTGCTGGGCTCTCCCCCTGCCCACACCTCGCACCCAAGCGGCCCGCCCCTGCGCGGCAGGAGTGCTCACCGTCGGTGTGGACCCGCATGGCCGAGGCTGTGATGTCAGTGGTGATGGCGAAATAGGGAATCCACAGGTCCTGCGGGCGGACGGGGCTTAGACGGACCCTCTCCCATCACGCTTCTGTCCCGTGTCTGGGGAGGCTGACTCAGGGCCAAGAGGCGGGGGCCAGGAGGGGACAGGCACTGGGGGCTGGGTGGGCGTTCACCTCGATCTGCCGGTCCTTGAAGACGCTGCAGATGCTGCTGTTGAAGCCGGCTCCAGAGAACATGGATGTGATGGGGTAGGTGAGGTCCAGTGCAGCCTTCATCATGGACGTCATGCCCTGGGGGCACATGTGCAATTGACAGAAGGCTCCCACTCTCCCTGCGGGCTGCCACAGCAGACACATGGCGTCCCAACGGCCACTCATGAATGGAACAGGGCTCCAGAGTATCCTTGGGTCCCACCCAAGGTCCTGATCTCACAAGAACTCCCTATCACAAGAACAGCATGGGGTAAACTGCCCTCATGATCCAATCACCTCCCACCAGGTTCCTCCCTCAACACGAGGATTACAATTTGAGATGAGATTTGAGTCGGGACACAGATCCAAGTCATATCAACAGTACCATGACATATCCATGGAGAATAGTCTCCTGACAATTTTCTACCTCTAAAATTGGTAAATAATTTCTATTCTGAGGGCGTTTCTATTCTTTGGCACCCTGGCTGGAGCCTCAGAGGGAGCAGAGGCTGGTGGACACCCACAGGGCCTGAAAGCCAGGATACAGCCCTACCCTCGGTCCCTTCCTGACCCCTAAGCCCTCGCTGGCCCTACCCTCACAGGCTCTGCAGCACCCCCGTGCCTGGGGCCTCCTCGGCTTTGCCTGCTCAGCTCTGGGGCAAGGCCTGGCCCAGGCCCGTGGCCGGAGGGTCCGGGAGGAGAGCTGGGGGCAGGCTGCTGGGCACATGAGGTTCCTGGGCCAGGAGAACACAGTGGAGTGCTCTCGGGAAGGTCAGAGCCACCCAGCCCTGGCTCACATGCCACTGTGGCACTCCATCGGGGGTCCACTCTCTTGGGCTCCTTCTGGGTGGGCCTGGGGCCCATCCTTCCTCAGTGAGGCAGGCAGGACTCGAGACTGACCTCGAACTAGCCTCACAATGCCCAGTGTGGGTGGAGAGGACTCGAGACTGACCGAACTAGCCTCAATGCCGAGTGTGGGTGGAGAGGAAGGGTCTTCCCTGCCACAGTGAGCTAGGGCTCAGGGAATGGAAGCTGGGAGGGAAGCGCTTGGAGTGTGGGCTGGACGTGCTTACACCATGTGATGCAGGCAGTGAGAATGCCTCGGCCACAGGCAGAGGAGACCCCAGTCCTTCCCTGAGGAAGCCCCTGCCCAGCACCAGAGGGGCTTACGGAGCTGAGCCAGACCCCAGTGCCTGCCGTCCCCTCTCCTCAGCACGAGGGGTGGGCACACAACCCCAGGCCCACCTTGCCCCCAGCCAGCTTGCGGGCCCAGGGTTCCCAGCCTGGAAGGAGGACCAGCCCAGAGAGTTCTGGCCATTCCCACACCTGGCCCCTCAGCGCCAGAGCCGCAGAGGGAGGGACAGGGAGAGGTCCACCAGGTGCTCTGGGACAGGACCGGCTCTGAGCCACCTCTGCCCATGGCGGGTTCTGTCCCGAGGACACTGTCCCTGAGGCCGTCCTGCTGCGTACCAGTCCCCAAGCCCTCTTTTGAGTGGCACACTGAAGGTGACCAGGTGACTCGTTTTAGGGAAAGACACATTTCTGGAACAGAGAGGGGAGCCAGCGTCAGTGGCCTCGGGACCCGCTGGCGGGGCTGGCGACAGCCCCAGGCCACGTGAATGCAGCACAGGTCTGCTTGGGAGCTGCTGCCGCACAGGGGGTGACGAATTTTCTTTCCTTTTAAAAGGAGAACACGAACCCTTCTGATCCCACTCATGGCTCCAACCAAAGCTCGGTTTTGTTTCACAAAAGCAAGTGCGGCACTGAGGAGGGCAGACGTCGGCCACGTCTGCTGGGGAACGGAGCCCGGCTACCTCGCTCTGCGGCCCGAGGGGAGCCTGTTCTCACCGCTGTCTTTGATGCTGTATTTGGTATTCTGATTCTGGAATCCATTATCACAAGGCCAGACTAGTGGCCAAAGTAGTTTACATCTCTCCTGTGACACTGAGCCGCCCTGACCTGATCTCACATCCCCAAGCCAACATCTCCCTGCCCTAAATCCACCCAGGCTTCGTGCCATGCACCAGGGACAGCCCCATGGCCCCCAGCCTGCCGGGAGGACTCAGTAAGCCCATCCTTAGCTGCTCATGCTGCCCTGCCTGGCCCTTGGGTCAGAAACCCCCATGGAGGCTTCGTGCCTCTAATTCCTAGGGGCTGTGACAATCAGCTCCTTTTCCACGATTTTGGCCTCCATGTCATCCTGCAGCACCTCAAGCACCTCAGACCCAAGCCGCCTCCCACCACCAACCTCCACCACCTCAGACCCGGGCACGGATCAGAACGCCTCCCACCACCAACCTCCACCGCTTCAGACCCAGGCCGCCTCGCACCACCAACCTCCACCACCTCAGACCCAGACCGCCTCCCACCACCAACCTCCACCACCTTAGACCTGGGCACGGATCAGACCGCCTCCCACCACCAACCTGCATTCGTGCCTTCTCTTTGCTGTTCCTTTGCCTCACAAGCTGCACTGGGAGGCCTCGGGGTGTAGCCTCCTCAAGGGCAGGGCCCTGCAGAGCCACATGCAGAGGCCAACGGCCCCAGCGTCCCCCAGCACCAGCATGGACCTGGGGGGCTGTGCTCCAGTGAGGGTGGTGGGTACCTGCTTACCTCAGCCCACTGCTTGGCCCGGATCCGCATCTGGCTGTAGTTCCGCTCCTCAGAGTACAGGGCACCCATGAAGGCCCCGATGGATGTGCGCCCACCGAGATCCACAGGGATTGCCCGCACCCGCCAAAGCCTTGAGAAACGCCCACCTGGCACAAGCCTCTACACGCCAGGGACCACAGAGGTGAGATGAGGCGAACGAGCCCAAGGCCGTGCACCTGCCAGAGCTCAGAGGTGGCCAACCTGCCATCCAACTTGCTCATCCTCAGTCAACTCTCCCACAAGGCAGAAGACGCTGACTCAGAGAGGGACTCCAGAGCAGATTTAAAGTCCTCTTTCGCTGGCTCACGCCTGTAATCCAGCAAACTTTGCGGAGCTGAAAGCGGGGAAGATCACTGAGCCAGGAGTTCGAGACCAGCCTGGCAACAGGGCCAAAACCCCATCTCTACTAAAAATACTATAAAACTAGCCGGGCGTGGTTGGTGCGCATCTGAATTCCCAGCTACTCGGGAGGCCTGGCAGGCGAATCACGGAACCCAGGAGAACAGGGTTGAGTGACTGAGACTTGGCACCACCCACACCCAGCCTGCATGGCACAGAGGAGACTCCATCTCAGAAAAAAAAAAAAAAAAAAATAGAAAATAGAAATAAATAAAATAATAAATCAAAATGAAAATAAATAAATGAAATCCCCCTTCTGGAGGTACGAGGGGATTGCGAGGCGTGGGATGTGGGAGGAGGGCAGTACCTGAGAGATGACTGGCATGCCTCTTCTAACCCATAAACAGCACGGCTGCCTCCAGCAGGCGCATGCCTGGCAGGTGGTAGGAAAACTGGAGTTTGAGGCGCCCTGGAAGGCAGGACGCCTGGGAAGCGTCCTGAGGGGCCAGCGCACCCCAAGGTCAGGTGAGCATGGAACGTAGACCAGGGAGCAACCCAGCGCGGTGAAGATTGAGCGCAGCCAGCACCCCAGCGGCGCCAATCGACTGCTGCTGTTTCAATACCGAAATGTTCCGCACCTACGCAAACCAAAATTAACCAGTCATTGGAAGAAAAGCCTCAACAAGGGCTTTTTCTGTTTGCCTCACACCTCAAAGAAAAAACCAGACAAAAAAAGTTGGGCCCAAGGCGGCAGCGCGGTGGCTCAAGCCTGTTAACCCAGCCACCTTGGGAGGCTGAAGACGGGGCCGGATCAACGAGGTCAAGAATCGAGACATCCTGGCTGACAGGTGGAAACCCCGTCTCTACTAAAAAAAATACAAAAACCTTAGCCAGCAGGCTGGGCGGTGAGCCGGGCTGCCTGTAGTCCCAGGCTATCGGGAGGGCTGGGAGCAGGAGAATGGCGTAAACCAGGAGTGGAGCTTGCAGTGAGCTGAATCGCGCCACTGCACTCCAAGCCTGGGCACAAGCAAGACCTCCGTCTCAAAAAAAAAATAAAAAGAAAGAAAGTGGGCCAGAGACCAACCCAATGGACCATTGCTTAAAGGTGGCAAGGAGTCCGAAAGGCATCCAGCAGTGATATGAATGTATAGCACGACCAAGGAAGAGCACACCCCTTTTAAGAGGAACCTGACGCGAGCCACAGGCAGAGAAAGCCTGGAGTCGTCTGCCGTGGTTTGGCTCGGTGTCCCCACCCAAATCTCATGTGGAATTTTAATCCCCAGTGTTGGAGGAGGGACCTGGTGGGAGGTAACTGGATCACAGGGGCAGATTTGAGGTGGGAAGTCAAGGCTGCACTGAGCTGACGTCATACCACTGCACTCCAGCCTGGACTGCAGCGAGACCCTGTCTAAAAAAAACTTCTGGAAATGGACAGTGGTAACGGTGGCACAACATTGCAACAACATTGTATAATTAATTATATTAATATATTAATACTTAATTGGATACTCAAAAATGGTTGAAATGCGCAAATTGTTATATATATTATGTTATATAAAATATATATAAAGTAATATAAAAAATATATATAAAATCATATGTGGTCGTGCACGTGGTAGTATACTATATGTGTGTGGTATAGTCTGAGTATTGGTTTTGAGATGGAGTGCCTTTGCCTCTGTCCACCCCAGCTGGAGTCAGGGGGTGTCGATCGTCGGGCTCAGCTGCAAGCTCCGGGCCTCCTGAGTTCAACCAACCTTTCTCCTGCTCTCAAGTCGGCCGAGTAGCTGGGATACAAGGCACCCGCCCCACCGACTGCCTGGCTAATTTTCCTATTTTAGTACAGATGGGGTTTCACCTTGTTTTTAGCCAGGATGGGTCCTCGATCCTCCTTGACCTCGTGAGCCGCCGCCTGCCCCGCCTCAGCCTCCCAAAGTGCTGGGCGCGATTATAGGCGTGAGCCCACCGTCGCCACGGCCATGGCCTATGTGTATTGTAACCATAACTAAATAAAGAACATGATTGTAATACTCGCGCCATGGAAATCTATTAAAAATACTGCAGGTAAGACCTTAAAAAACAGGTTCCAAGTCGGGAAGGCAAGAGCTGTGGTGATGCTGAGATCCGTGCCGTCGCAGGCCACGTCCAGCCTGGGCAACAAAAGCCAAAAACTCTAGTCTCAAAAAAACAAAAACAATTCAAGGAATTAAAAACAAGACGCCTCGTCCGAATTCTGTGGCATAAAAACCGGAAGACGGAAATTCTAGAATGAAAAATATAATAACAAATGAAAAACTCCAATGAGTGGGCCTTAACAGCAGAACAGAAAACAGCTCGAAGAGAGAAAGGTAAGCAAATACAAAATGGTGTCCAGAAAACAAAATATTCTCATTCGGAATCATGAAGCATCACAAAAGGCAGTGCAGAATGATGGTAACAAGGATATTGTTTTTACAAAATCTGTAAAGAATTTTGGGAAACAAGTGCGGATCTGGCCACCCGAAACTCTAATGTATCGCTGGCCTAATCGGAGCCACAGAAGCAGATTGGGCCGAATCAGGCGAGCCTGTATCTGGAAAAGGGACAGTGGGGCATGTTCTAGAGACAGACGTCAGGCGTCGGAATCAGGAAGCATTACAAATCCTAACATAAATCAAAAGAAAACCATTCCCATGTTGTCAAAAACCCAAGGCAAAGAAAAAAGCTTTAAGCCAGCCTGAGAAAAGAAAAGACACGTTACCTTAACTTTTCTGTCCTCTGAGTGGTTGGGAGAGAGTACATATTTACTATGTTTCTTTATAGGCAATGTCTGCTTGTCTAAATGTTAGGGGAAAAAGAACAATTTAAATAAAAGAGAGTAAAATTAAGCAAATAACAAAGATAAGAGCACAACTTACAGAGCCAAAAACAAACATAGAGAAGATTGACAAAGATGAAAGTTGGTGTTGGAGGGACCAATTCGATGGATAGCCCTGGTGAGGCCGATCCAGGAAATGAAAGAGAGAAAGCGTCAATGATGAACAGGAAAGAAAATGGGAACATCGGCGCAGATGCTTTAGTTAAAAAGACTGAACAGCTTCATGCCATAAATAGAAAAATTCAGATAAAATGGGCACATTTTTAGAAAAACCTAACTTACCAAAATGACACAAGAAATAGAGCATCTGAGTAGTACTGTAACTTAGTAAAGATTAAATAAATTTAATCTATCTTTTTTTTTTTTAGACAGGGTCTAACTCTTGCCCAGGTTGGAGTGCAGTGGCGTGATCACAGCTCACTGCAGCCTCAACCTCCTGGGTTCAAGTGATTCCCCTCCTGCCTCAGCCTCCCATGTAGCTGCAATCACAGGCACACACCATCATGCCCAGCTAATCTTTTCATTTTTATAAAGATGGCGTCTCACTATGTTGCCCAGGCTGGTCTGGAACTCTTGGGCTCAAGAAATCCTCACTCCTTGGCCTCCCAAAGTGCTGGGATTATAGGTGTGAGCCACCACGCCTGGCCTGTGGAAGGTGTTATGTAAATTTTGTTTTATTTATTCCTTATATGTTTCATAAAATTCACTGGTGAAACCATCTGGACATGAAACTTTCTCTGTGGGGATTTAAAAGTTACAGATTCCATTCTGGCTGAGCACAGCGGCTCACACCTGTAATCCCAGCAGCGAGCTACAATGATGCCACTGCACTCCAGCCTGGGCAACAGAATGAAACCCTGTCTCAAAAAAAATAAATAAAAATAAATAAGCAAAAATAAAAAATTTTTTAAAAACCTTCCAGAGAATAGGAAAAGAAGATGAACTTCCCATTTCAGCTTATGAAGCCAGCAAACAAACCTTCATACCAAACCCGGTAAAGACATTTCAAAAAAGGACAATTTCAGTCCAGTCTTACTCAGGTTTGAATAGAATCTAGCAGTATACAAACAGGATAACTTCAACATCATGACGAAACAGGTCTGTCCCAGGAGCACAATGTTGATTTTCATTGGAAAATCAATGTAATTAGGCCGGGCGCGGTGGCTCACGCCTGTAATCCCAGCACTTTGGGAGGCCGAGGCGGGCAGATCACAAGATCAGGAGATCGAGACCCAGTTTCCTGAGTTTTTTTTTGTTTTTTTGTCTTTTTTGTTGTTGTTTTGTTGTTTTTAATCGATGAATAGTTTTATTTTTGCGTGACCCTCTATTGAGTATGAATTGTGTATTTTCTCTCTTATACTCTGCCTTAATGAGTGTTTACGATTACAATTGATTTTTTTTTTTTTTTTTTTTTTTTTTGAGACGGAGTCTTTCGTCTGGCCGCTCCCAGGGTGGAGTGCAGTGGA